TTTTGGTAACGGGGATCAAACTCGGGTCCTTGCACTTGCACAGCAGGCAGTGATACCACTGAGCTAAATCCCCGGCCCTGGAAGCATCTTTTGATGGGAGAAACCTCCCAACTTCTTAGCTTTCTATCAGTGAACTGTTCTCTTTTATGTAAATCAGGCTGACTACAAAAATAAAACTCACAGATAAACCTCTAAATCTGTTTACCTGCCATGTCCTTTGCTAGGTCTGTCGGGAAAAAGTAAAATCTATGGAATGCTAATTCCATTTATAGAACAAAGTGAGGTGCAAAAATAAAGTGCCAGCTGGATGTGGTGGTGCACGCCTGTAATCCCAGCACTAAGGAGGCTGAGGCAGGACTCTGTCAAGTTCAAGGGTAGCCTGGACTACATAGTAAGGCTATCTGAAAAAGCCAGAAGTAAAAAATACAAATATAGTGCCACACTCTGCTTGCCTGTGTGTACAGAGGCTTTGACAAAGGATGGGGGATGTAATTCTATAGGAAGTCAGTAATAAGTCTCTGAGGAGAAAGGGAGGACAAGGAGTTTAATTAATCTGCCAACTAATTAAGCAGGCCCTGCACAAGCTTATCCTAGCAGGCAAAACTGAGATATGGCAGCGGCCCAGTAGCACTGAGCACACACAGCCCCCGATGAATAAACATCCCAAGTTCTCAACAATCATCTTTTGCTTTAGAGCTCCTTGTCTCCCGGATCCTTAGTGGGAGCTGGGCAGCTGAGCACCTGCCTCGAGGGTTGATCTTCCTCCCCTGTGTTGCAGACAGTATAACAAACTGCGGAGCCTGCTGAGGGACGCGCGGCACGACTGCATCCTCTTCGCTAACGAGTTCCAGGAGCTCTGCTACCTCCCCCGGGAGAGGGGTGAGGCCCTGGAGAAGTGGCAGACCAGGTGCGGCTCTTGGTCCCCTCCTAAGTCCTGGGCACGGGCCGTCTGGTGCCAGAGTGAACCCAGTCATATTGGAATTGTGATCGTACTGAAATGCTCACTGTGCCCGTACTTTAGAGCAAGCAATTGAATACATCACTGTTACATGTTTTTAAAACTGTAATTAAGGAGACGCAGGACCCAGAGTAAGTTCCCCTGGAGCCTAATGGCTAGCAGGATGCTTGCAGGGATCTAAAAATCATGCTTCGTGTCTGTGTGTGTGTGTGTGTGTGCGTGCGCGCGCGCATAAGCCCACATGTGTGTAAAAAGGGCTCCTCAACCGAGACTTGTTTCTTCATCTCCTCAGGGGTGCTCGTCAGCCCATACCGTGCCCTGAGGCTTGGCCTCCAACTGAAGGATGTGAAAAGATGACAGAGCCTCGTGGTTTCTAGGCCTTGTCGAGAATGATTGCAGTTGCTATGGGGGTTGGATGACTCTGGGGGTGGCATTTGCTTTCTGATGCATCTCTGTATCCCCGGGACCACCCAGCCCACACCCATGGAGCCTCCAGAGGTGTGCGTTGCATGAAGAAGTCGTCTGTTTGGTCCAAAGGACTGCAGAGTGAGAGCTGAGTATAGGAGGCTGAGGCAGGAAGATCACCAGGAGTTTAAAGTCACCTTGCATCGGTCTTCCCACTTGGGAGGGCTCACGCCTTGCCCTGTCTTGCAGGAGCATATACAAGGCGGCCGTCTGGTACTATCACCACTGCGGGGACAGGGTGCCCATTGTTATGGTGACAGAAGATGCAGAGGCGATTCAGAAGTATGGGAGCGAAACCCAAGGAGTGTTTGTGATTTCTTTCAAGGTATTTGCAGTAGTTGGGTGTAAGCGGCAGTGTGTGTGAGTGCGCGCATGCACATTCATTTCCTAAGTAGCGCACAGCCCCCTGGATCCCAGCACAGAAAGAAAATAAGGAAGGAGGGCTTTAAGATGTCGCATGTCTGTATCACTCCCCTGATCAACCTCTGTTTCAGCCCAATAAGCCCTGCTGACATTGAAGCCATTTTTGTTGTGTTTTGGGTTTGTTTGGTTTTTTTGTGTGTGTGTGCAGAAATTAAACCCAGGGCCTTACACATGCTAAGCACATACCCTATCTCTGAGCTACACCCCCAGTCCCTAAGCTACTGTTTATGATTACTGCAGATACAGAAATGATGATGATGGATGGAACAAGACTACAGCATTAGCTGGGCATGGTGGCACACACCTGTAATCTAAGCACTCTGGGAGGCTGAGGCAGGAGAATCACAAATTTGAGCCCAGCCCAGGCAATGTGGCAACTTAGCAAACCCCGTCTCAAAAATTTAAAAATGGGCTAGGGATGTAGCTTAGTGTAAAAGCCCTGGGTTTAATCCCCAGTACTAGAAAGGAAAAAGTAAGAATCCATTATTCTCATTTTTGTTACGTTTTGTTTTGTTTTTGGTTTAGTTTTTGGTTTTTTGAGGCAGAGTCTCCCCTTGTAGTTCAGGCTGGCCCTGAACTCATAATGTTCCCCAGGCTGGCCTCGAACTCAAGGTGGTCCTCCTGCCGCAGCCTCCAAGAGTGCTGGGATTGTAGGGGTGCGCCACCACACCCAGCTACGTCATTACTCTCATTTTTGAGAACCCTAAATACCAGTTCTACATGGTCCTGCTTATTAGTAATAACTAACATGTATCTATGCCAAGCATAGTGTATTACTTAAGTGTAGTAATAGATATAAGTAAGTGCATTATTTCATTTAATTCTAGGAACAACTCTATGAGGTAAGTGTTATTATCCCACCTCACTGATAAGGGAACTAAAGCACAGAAAGGCTAAGCCACTTGTCTGAGGTCACACAGTAGGAATCCATAGCACTGCAATCAGTGCCCAAGCAGTCAGAAGCCAGAGCTCTTAACCACCCGGGTGAGCTGCCTCCCAAATGATTTTCCTGACTACACACACAGAACACAAACTTCTTTAGGGTCAGTCTTGTTTTCCAGCTGTCCCCCACTCTCCCCACCTGTGGGGGTCAGTGGAGATGAGTGCCGGGCTTAGGATTCGACATTGCTTATGTGATGGCTGTCCCATCGCTGGGGCAGATCCCAAGCAGAAGTGGCGTTATCACTGTCAGCTTCTTCCTGCTGTCATAGCAACGCAGTTGTTGCTGTCTCTTCAGAACCTTTGGAGAGAACAGGACGACTGCAAACCTCTCAATAGACGCTGTTCTCTTCTGTCTGCCCAGTGGGTCCATCAAGTTCTGCTGGCTGATTTCATCTTTTGATTGCATGAACTAGAACACTAGAGCACGCTCTTACCCATCAGTTTACAGACAGCCTGGCTGCGTTTTGAATTGTAGATTCTCTGAGGTACCCGTGTGCACGTATTGCTAAAGATTTGCCAATAGAATTTGCTTGGCCCTGCTATAAAAAAGTGCTTTGGCATGCCAGAGAATTCCAGGGACGCTGGATATTAATGACTGTGTCACTTATTTTTTCAGCTCCAATACATCATGTCTTGTTCCTGCAGAGGACAGTTGACTAAAATTACATTTTTCTACTTTTTGTGGAAATTACTTTTCTTTGTAGTCCAGCAATATAGGACAGTTTTATTTTGTAGACCATTTCTGAAGCAAACTGTGTGACCAAGGGCCTCATAGTGGTGAATGATAGCAGAGGGAGAGAGAGAGGGAGGGAGGGAGCCAGGGAGAGAGAGGGAGAAAGAAAGAGAGAGAGAGATTGTAATGTTCAGAGGAGAGAGAAGCGCAGAATTTTTTTGGGCGGGGGGACTTCATTTATATGGAGCAGAGAGTCAAGGCAATAAATAGTTCTCAAGTTGGTGCTTCAAGATGACAAAAGTTTGGTGTTGATGAGTGAGAAGTGACCATAGAATTGGGCTGCTGATTTTAGCACAGACAGAATTTCTGGAAAGAAGGGGAAAAACAGGAAGCAATTTAAATTGATCCCTGAAATTAATAGGAGAAATGCTGGAGTTGACAATAGGGTGACTTTTTTTTTTTTCAATATGAGAAATGAAAATGTACTAGACTCTACCTTCGACTTAAAATTGAGTTAAAAATCACATTAAAAGATAAGAGTCGCACATGGTGGCACACATCTAATCCCAGCACTCGGGAGGCTAAGGCAGGAGAATCACTGAGTTCAAAGCCAGCCTAGGCTACATAGTGAGTTCAAGGCCAGTCTGAACTACATAGTGAGACCCTGTCTTAAACCCCCCCCCTCAAAAAAGATAAAAAGCCAGATGTAGTGGCACTTGCCTGTAATCTCAGCACTAGGGAGGCTGAGGAAGGAGGATCAGCACAAGTTTGAAGCCCCTCTTGGCCACTTAGTGAGTTCAAGTCCACCCTGACCTGTAGAGCAAGACTGTCTTAAAAAAACAAACAAAAAAAGGAAAGGTAAGAATACACTCAACTGGTAGGATCTTTTCCTGTCTGTTCTCTATAGGCCATTGTGTGCATCAGTGAGCTGGACAGAAAGACTGGCTGCCTGGATTTGGGGTGGGGTGTGGGGTGCATTTGGAAAAGAGGTTTGAGAGTGCAGAACGCCTGGGAGGTGGAAGTGGGCCATGGTGGGGTAGCCTCCCCGGGGTTCCTATGGCCAGGTTTCCCAGATTAAGATTATAGAAAATGAGCTGGCAGCCTGAGGCTCAGAACCAGGCAAAGTGGTGCACACCTGTAATCCCAGCACTCTGGGAGGCTGAGGCAGGAGGACCATAAGTTCAAGCCCAGCCTGGGCAACTTAGCAACTTAACAAGACCCTGTATCAAAATACATACTAAAAAAAAAAAAAAAGGCTGAGAATGCAGCTCAGGGTGAATAGTCTAGGTTCAATCCCCAGTGCCTCTCCCCGCCAAAAAAAGGAAAAAAGGGAAAAGAGGCCAGGAACAGAATGCTCACCTGTCACATGCACACACACAGCCCTCCTGATTTCTGTCCCAGTACTGCAGTGAGGAGTCCTCACCTTCGACACCTTCTCTGTGCCTTCACCAAACACAGGACTACCTGGACAACTTCTGGCCGGATTTAAAGGCTGCCCATGAGCTGTGCGAGTCTATCCTCCAGTCCCGCCGGGAGCGGGAGAGCGAGAGCCAGGAGAGTCACGGGAGGGAGTACTCAGAGCATCTGCCGCTGGAGGTGCTGGAGGCCGGCATCAAGTCGGGGCGCTATGTGCAGGTGAGGGGCTCTGAGAGTCAGCATTGGGACCGCCGCCCTGGCCCCCTCTCCCCTCCAGACTCCACATGGCACTCGGGCTGGGAATCAGCCAGTGTGCATGTGAGGGGATTTGGGCTCCAGTCTTGGGGCCCTGCTTGTCCAGGTGGAAGCTGCTCTGTGATGGTCTTAATCCTGCTGCACAGAGAATTGCACAGGTGGAGTGGGGCAGCTGCCTTGGTTTTGGGGTTTTGTTTGTGTTTTGTTTCGAGACAGTGTCTCACTATGTAGCCCAGGATGGCCTCGAACTCACAGCAACCCTCCTGCCTCAGCCACCCAGCTTGTTGGCATTTTAGGTGTGTGTCACCATGTCCAGTGGGAGCTGCCTGAAAATACTTCCTGTCAGTAAGAAAGAAATGCATTGTTGGGCCAGGGATTTAGCTCAGGACCTACAAGACTGCAGAGTCCTGAGTTCAATCTCCGGTACCAAAACAAACAAACAAAAAAGGAAAATGCATTGTTTTGAGTCAAGGTGTGAAGGTTTGGCAACATTATTAAATCTGAAATTTAGCCTCTGCAGTCTCTAGCCATTTTCCTTCCCCTTTATGATTCTCAATCCTCAAACACAGGTGACCTTTGGGTCTGGAGAAAGAAGGTCACATCCTGCTTCTGGTTTCAGCAGTTTTATGTCCACTCATTTTTGTAAGGTAACATGCAAAGATACAGAACTACTCCAGCATAGATCTCATATTTATTTTTTTATGTTTCTTTATTCATCTATTCACTCCTTCATGTTTGTGGTGCCAAAGATCATACCCAAGGCCTCACACATGCTAGGCATGCACACTCCCTCTGAGCTTCACTCCAGTCCTGGGATTGACATTTCCAACCAGCAACTCAGAAAGTTTTTATTTTGGCCAAAGTTTGAGAGGCACACATTGAAGTTCCTTGCCAAAAGTGGGAATATTTTAAATGGTGTAGCTAAGGAGTGGTTTAAAATGACGGTATCCTGTTGAGAGAAATTAATATTATTCCTAAAGAAAGGGATCATAGCCTAGCACTCAGGAGACTGAGGCAGGAGGATCCTTGAGAGTTTGAGGCCAGCTTGGGCTACACAATGAGTTCAAGGCCAGCCTAAACTATATAGTGAGACCCTGTCTCAAAAAAAATTTTTAAAAAGGGCCGGGGATTTAGCTCAGTTCCACCGCCTGCCTTGCAAGTGCAAGGTCCTGAGTTCAATCCCTGGTACCAAAAAAAAAAGTCACAAACTTTTAAAGAATATTATGGGGATACTTTTATAAGGTTTTTAAAATTGGACCTTTTGGAGATAGATAAGACAGGAAATTTTTTCATACTGATTTTTTATTATGATTTCAGGGCACTCTGAATGTGAACAAACACAGAGCCCAAACAGAAGCTTTTGTTCGACTTCAAGGAGCCAGCAGTAAAGATTCAGGTTCAGTATAAACCGGACATAAACTCCCATACTGCTTTTTCATTCTGCTGTTTCACAGTGAGGAAAGCAAAGTTGAAACTTAGATCCTACACCCATGTCATAGTGTACACTAGGCTTGTGGGACTTTTGGTTTGTCCCCCCTAGCTTTTGTCTCTAATTTCTGATTGTACCTTATCTTACTTTTAAAATTTTTTTTAAAAAGTTTTAATTAACACAGATGTGCCTCTTTATAGGGCATGGTGTGATATTTTGACACACATATACAGTGTAAGGATCGGCTCAGGGGACTTGCTACATCCACCACTTACAGTTAGCATTTCCTGGTGTTCAGTTCAGAATCCTCCCAGTTAGCTATTTGGAAACATTCAGTTCATATTGTCAACACAGCTACTCCCCTTGCTGCAGGGCACCGGAAGTTTTTCTTCTTGTCTAATGTGCCCTAGTTTCTGATTTTATTGCACTAAACTTTAAGAAGCAAAGTTGCCTGCCCAGGTTAGCCACACGAGTTTGGCTGAGATCTAAAGACATCCCTTTGCCTTTTGCTTTTTATTCCAATACTAGGGATCAAACCCAGTCCCTTTGCACATGCTAGGCATGTACTCCACTCCTGAGCTACATCCCCAGCTCTTTGTTGTTTTTATTTTTGAGACTGAGTCTAGATAAGTTGTCCATGCTGGACTCAAACTTTCAACCTTCTTGCCTCAGCCCCCTGAGTAGCTGGGATTATAAGCAGGAGTCACCTCACCTGTGTTACGTTGCCTTAGTGAATCATTTCAAAGAAGTAACCACTGGGGCCTGGTGGTGCACACCTGTAATCCCAGAACTCAGGAGGTTGAAGCAGGAGGATCGCCAAGAGTTGGAGGCCAGCCTGAACTGCATAGCAAGCGAAGTCCTGTCTTAAAACAAAACACAAAAGGTGATGGGGTGGCCTGGGTAAAAGTCCATCCTATGCTGTGACCCAGTGACAGTTTCTGCACTTATAACCTGCAGAACAGAAGTTTGACCTTGAAAATGTGACCTTTGAAAGGCCTGTTGTTTTCAGGAAAGCTGCTTGGACCTAGATGTGTCTGAACCTCCCGGTACACAGTGTGGCACTGCTGCCCTCACAGGTCTCTGTGCTGCCCATCACAGGTTTAACTAGTGACATCCTCATCCATGGCACCAAGGCCCGGAACCGCGCCATCCACGGGGATGTGGTGGTCGTCGAGCTGCTCCCAAAGGGTGAATGGAAGGGAAGGACTGGCGCCCTGTGTGACAACGACAGCGAGGACAAGACCTCGAGCGAGGCCCCCAGTGAGCCCATGCCCACAGGTGAGCCTCACCCTGTGGGAGCAGCCGAGTTGCTCCTGGAATTACCACTTCCTCCTGCCTAGCGATCCCCTGTATCACAACACCAAATAAAGGTGAGAATCACTGACTTTTCCCAGTGGACTGTTGCCAGAGGTTCATGAGGGAATGGCAAAAGGGAACAGGGAAAGTGGGTTCTGGGTGTCACATCAGGCCCCACAGAAGAAAGGCCATACCGGCAGTGTAACACACAAAAATCACTCATCCAAAAAAAGGAATATGTCTTCAAAATGCTAAGAAGGCAGATCTGTGGGCACCTCTTGACCTGCATGCCTGTGCTTGAAAAAACTGGCACTTTGCTTGCACACTGCTGAGTTGGTCACAGTGCGGTACGTGACATCTGACCTGGTCACACCTTGTTCTCTTCTGTCTTCTCAAAGGCCGTGTGGTGGGCATCCTCCAGAAGAACTGGCGTGATTATGTGGTGACTTTCCCGTCCAAGGAGGAGGTCCAGTCCCAAGGCAGAAATCCTCAGAAGATCCTAGTTACTCCCTGGGATTACAGAATCCCCAAGATTCGAATTAGCACGCAGCAAGCCGAAACCCTGCAGGTAGCTGTCGCTGAGTCTCTACCATCCTCCTTCTGTCTCCATCAGCTGCTGCTCAGTATCGGGAAGCACTGTGAATTCTTTTGCTTAAGAGGAAATCAATTATTGATGGATTCTGGCACTTCAAGATCCTGTTTTCTAAAAATTCTAAATATATAAGAACCATCTATTAAGTACTCCATGGTTAATAAATGAAGGCTGGAGCAAAACCGTCCTAGAAAGAACTGTTTAGGACAAGCAGAGTGAACATACATTATCCTACTGTCCAACCCAGAAACTTTCAATAGCTACACTTTGCCAACACTAACAAGCTCTCTTCTAGCCAGCGATACAGAAATACGATCGCTCTGGCCTGTAGGGATGATGTAGTGGTACTTCACAGAATCAATTCTCCATAAAGGGATGGAGCACAGGAGAGAAGTCATAAACATGAAAGTTAGAAATTAACCTTTCCTGGTGGCTGAGAGTGTAGGCATGGCCCAGTTTCATTCACCTCATATTTTGTAGTTTGTAAATGAGGTACTAAAGCAGAATCTCCCAGCCAGTAACCTACCTGGTCATTGTACCTTTTGGAGACCCTCTGAGGACAGCAGGTGTAACCATTACCATTTCCATTTCTATAGTTTATCCAAATTGTTGAGCGGTAGGGAGTCCACCTTATACTGACACCTTCTTTCCCACCAAAGAGCATCTTATGGCTTCAAGAAAATAAGACCCACCAGGTGTGGTGGCGCACAGCTTTAATTCTAGCACTCAGGAGGCTGAGGCAGGAAGATTGCTGCAATTTCAAGGCCAGCCTAGGCAACATAGTGAGTTCAAGGGCAGCCTGAACTAAATAGTGAGACCCTGTCTCATAAAAAAAAACAAAACAAAACTGTATTTGGACCATGTATAATTGAGTTTTTCCATTGTGTTGCAAGTGTTAACTAAAATGTGTTACAATTGGCTTTAACAGACTGAAATTTCCAGCCCACTTATTTGATGTAGAGATAATGCCTCCCTTCAAAATATCAAGCTAAGCATTTGCATACCATCTGGCAATTCTGCAGAATAGGAACAAAAAACAAAGAATCAAATAAGTCACCACACACTGCTACTGCAGATTGCCCCACTCTCTGGTTCTCAGGTGCTATTTATCTCATCTGTTTGGAGCTTGTAACAACATAACCATTTAGCTCCTGTGCTTGGCTTGTTTTTTATTCTCCCTCTGTACAGGACTTCAGGGTGATCGTGCGCATCGATTCCTGGGAGTCAACGTCGGTGTACCCAAATGGACACTTTGTCTGTGTGTTAGGAAGAATCGGTGACCTGGAAGGGGAGATCGCAACTATCCTGGTGGAAAACAGCATCTCAGTTGTCCCCTTCTCAGAGGCTCAGGTCAGTCTTCCCAGAGGCCCATGGCTTTGTGACAGGCATTTTCTTTTTGGTTTTGTTGTAGTTGCATCATTAAGAAAGGAAAACCCTGCCTGTAATCCCAGCACTCAGGAGGTTAAGGCAGGAGAATCGCCTGAACTACAAAGTGAGACCCTGTCTCAAAAAACAAACCCCCCCAAAAAAGAAAAAAAGAAAGAAAAAAAACCCCTGGGAGCCAGGCATGGTGGCACACGCCTGTAATCCTAGTAATTGGGAGGCTGAGGCAGGATTGTCAAGAGTTGGAGGACTGAGGATTTAGCTCAGTGGTTCCGGCGCCTGCCCCTTGCAAGGTCCTGAATTCAATCCCCGGTACAAAAAAAAAAAAAAAATCGCATTTTGCCGGCGATTTAGCTCAGTGGTTTCGCCGCCTGCTTCGATCCCCAGTAGCCCCCCCCCCAAAAAAAATTTCAAGGCCAGCCTGCACTACAGAGCAAGATTCTGTTTCAAAAAAACCAAAAACCTTTATTTTATGGAATAGCCCATTGTCTAAAGCCAGTAAATAATGAAAAAATTCTCCCTCCAAGAGAAAGTCTTTTTTTTTTTTTTTTTTTGGCACCAGGGATCAAACTCAGGACCTTGTGCTTGCAAGGCAGGCGTGGTGCCACTGAGCTGAATCCCTGGCCCTCCAGAGAAAGTCTTGCTATTTAGTCCAGATTGGCCTTGAACTCAGCATCCCAAGTGCTGGGATTACACATGTCCACCACCACATCTGGCTTTTATTCTGCTTTTGGACCACACTTCGAGTATGGAAATTGTTTCCTACAGTCTCCCAGCTCTCAAATTTTCACATTTCCCAGCTGTGCTTAAAAATGGTATGCTTGCTAGGTAGGTGTGGTGGCACACACCTGTAATCACAGCACTCAGGAGGCTGAGGTGGGAGGATCCTCAAGAATCCGAGGCCAACCTGGGCTACATAGTGACTTCAAGGCCAATCTGAACTACATAGTGAGATCTTGTCTCAAACAAAGAAATAATGACATGCCAGTGTGTCTCAGACAGTACCCTTCCGTCCTCTGGCAAACTCATGGGCACTCAGTTAGGGACCTACAGCTATCACAACCCTTTAGCCAGCAGCCATGAAGGCTGCCAGGAGCAGATTCCTGCACCTACACATCTCTCACCTGTGGGTCAGAAAACCATTCTCATTATGAAGCTCTTCTTGTAACCTTTTCAGAAGACAAAAATCCCATGACCATTAAACATCAGCTATTTCTGTCACTTCATGATCTTTTAGAATTCGCATAAATCTTGTTTATTACTCTTGCCTGGCCATACTCATGTGTGCACTAATTTTTGTTCTGCTTCCTTCACTTAAAATTATTTCTCCACATTGACACAACCTACTTATAAAATAAGCAGGACTTAGGACAAATGACTGTATTGATGTAGCTCCATTTGCTTAAACATTCCTTAATTGTTGGGCATTGGGACTGCTTAATTTTTCAGTATTATAAAAAATGCTGCTTCAAATATTTTTATTAACACTCCCCCCTCTTTTTTCCTTTTTGATCATTCCCTTGGACTGGAACCCTGACAATGAGATTACCAAGTCAAAGGGCATAAAAAATTTAAGACAGCTTTCATTATGTATTGGCAGTGTTTCCTTGAAAAATTGGACTGGTTTCCATTACCACCAGGAGAGAATGGGTATTCTTATTGTCTTTACAGTTTTTGACAGAACAGGAGCTATAATAGGAAAATATTTTAGCATATTTTATACCATTAAATTTTTATGTTTGACATTAGTTTCTGGAAATTATTTGTTGACTTGTTTGGTAGCTCTTAGTGAAATGTTAGAATGAAATAAGGAATGAATTAAAATTACAGGACTAGAACTCTCTCCTTTTAGCCTACTTAACGGCAAATTGATGGCTTAAATAAGTAATAATGGAGAGAAAATGCCCTAGATTGGTCCTGCTTAAATTATCTTTAAAAAATTGACTTTTTTTCTTCTTTTGGTTTTTATTTATTGTCGTTGTTGTTGTTAATATTAGAGACGGGGGTCTTATTATGTAGTCCGGGGACGCCTTGAACTTTCAGCAATCCTCCTGCCTCACCCTCCAAGAGCTGGGATTACAGGCATGCACTCCACACCCAGCTTTTTTTTCTTTCTTTTTTTTTTCTTTTTTTCTTTCTCCTTTGGTATTGAGGACGAACTCAGGACCTTGTGCTTGCCAGGCAGGCACAGCACCACTGAGCTCTATCCTTGGCCTGGCTTTTCATAATTTGGGACATGTAGACTTTTTTTCCAGAGCATGACTTGAATTAAACATTCAACCACATTCAAATAAATGGATCAGGCTGGGCTTGATTGTGCACACCTGTAATCCTAGCACTCAGGAGGCTGAGGCAGGAGGCTTGCCTCAAGTTGGAGGCCAGCCTGGGATACATAGTGAGTTCAAGAGCAGCCTGAACTACAAGGTGAGATGCTGTCTCGAAGAAAAAAAAAAAAAAAAAGCAAAATAAATCAAATATAGATCATTTGGAAATGGAGTACACTTTACCCTCTCCTAAGCCACCCATTCATTCCTGCTCCAGCCCCCATAATTGATGAGGCTGGGAGAGTGTCTTCCTGAGACACGTATCAGTTGCAGAAGCCAAGGGCGTGCTTTCCGGGGAGCCCTGACTTTCCTGAGCCACGCCTGGTGCCCGACATATCTGAGGCACCTAATAACTCTTGATCACAGACGCAAACCAGGTTGATGTAGAAGGTGACTGGGAATGAATTTCTCTCCATGGTCACATCAAGAGTACTAGGGTAGACTTCTGCCACCCTGCAGTGCACAGCTGGCTGAGTGTGTGTGGCCTCTTGTGCAGCTGTGTGAGATGCCCGTGAACACCCCCGAGAAGCCCTGGAAGGTGAGTCCCGAGGAGGAGCGCAAGAGGAGAGACTTGCGGCGAACCCACCTCGTGTTCAGCATCGACCCCAAGGGCTGTGAGGATGTGGATGACGCGCTCTCTGTCAGGACCCTGAACAACGGCAACCTGGAACTCGGGGTCCACATTGCGGATGTCACACACTTTGTGGCTCTCAACTCTTACACCGACGTTGAAGCTAGAACAAGGTAGTGTTGTGGTCGTGTGTGACTGTGAGTCTTCTATCTGTGCTGGCTTCAGACATTGAAAGGTTGAATGAGTATAACTCTGAGGATCCCTTCTGGGGAAAAACAATGTAGAGCTCCCCTTCCCCTTCTCCTTTTAGAAAAATAGTACTTTTGCCGGATGTGGTGGTGCACACCATAATCCCAGCACTTGGAAAACTGAGGCAGGAGGATCACCACAAGTTTGAGGCCAGCCAGGGCCCAGCCAGCCAGTCACCTTCTGTCTCAGAAAAACAAAACAAAAAAGAAAAATAATGCTTTGATTAATTTACTTTTCCATTTAACTTTTCTGTACAGTATTTCCTACTAAATTCAAATGGGTTCAGTTTTCACGCAGTGACACATTACTTTCTATAAATACTGGATTACTATCCTCCAGTTTTTCTTGTACAATCAAGATCTGTGTCACTTTTTTTTTTTTTAGCACTAGCAAAGTTTATTCGAGAGACTCTGCAGAGTGAGTTTGGGCCAACTAAAAGAGGAAAAAGCAAGATAAAAGAACACCCTGGAGAAAGAAGGGTAGATAATCAAGGGAAAGCCACAATAGCTGTTTTGGTTTTTTTAAGACAGGGTCTCACCATGTGTTCTGTGCTAGCCTCGAACCGGTGATCTTCCTGCCTCAGCTTCCGGAGTGCTGGGATCACAGGCACCACCACACCCAGCAGTTTTTCTTTCTTTTTTACATCAGTAGATCATTCAACTCAAAGCTGAATCTTAGGAAGTGAGCACCTGGGAGCCATTTCATTATGCCACCAGCTGCCCTTGCTGCAGAGTGGTGGCCCTGGGGAGCCGGTTGGGTTCCTGGCCATTGCCTCACTGCTGCCTGGCTGCCAGTGGTTCTGCCTCTCGCTGTTGAAGATCAGCCATGCATCTATGTCGTTCGCAGGGCCACCACTTATTACCTAGCAGATCGGCGCTATGACATGCTGCCCTCTGTCCTCAGTGCTGACCTTTGTTCCCTCCTGGGAGGCGTCGACAGGTGAGTTTACTATTGTCATCTTCAGCACCTGTCTTGGTCCTGCCCGTAGTACTCCACGCTCCCCATGGTGGCCTCCTTGCTCTTCGTGCTAAAATGCACAAGTCCTCCCCACCCACCTGCACCACAGACCTTGGACCTCAGGCTCCTCCAGCTTTCTTCTCCCTTCCACTCTTTCCCTGCTCTTCCTGCTGTTGGCTTTTAAAAGTCTGGGAAAAAATGCATGTGGTACACACCTACTATCTATTACCTTCTTTGTGGTTTGGATTTAATGGATCCTGGGATCATTCCATGTGAATGAGAGTGGCTTATATATGGGAATTTGGATAATTTGCAGTCTTTTGCTATTAAAAATAAAGCTACCCAAGCCAGGCACGGTGGGGCATGCCTGTAATCTCAGCACTTGGGAGGCTGAGGCAGGAGGATCTCCAAGAGTTAGAGGCCACCCTGAGCTACCTACTGAGTTCAAGGCCAACCTGAACTACACAGCGAGACCTTGTCTCAAAAAAATAGAAACAAAGGGCCGGGGATTTAGCTCAGTGGTTCCAGCGCCTGCCTTGCAAGCGCAAGGTCCTGAGTTCGATCTCCGGTACCAAAAACAAAAAAAATAAAAACAACATCAAAAACAAAGCTACCTTGAATTCTAAATATAACCCATTTCATAGCTTTAAAAAACACAGTATAGGACCCGGGATTTAGCTCAGTGGATCTGCTGCCTGCCTCACAAGCACAAGGACCAGAGTTCGATCCCCGGTACCAAAAAAAGAAAAATCCACAGTATATTTGAAGGATACATTCCTAGAAGTGGGATTTCTGTGTCAAGGGTATGTGCATTTGTGTTTGCATCAACATAATCCAGTTCCCCTCCACAGAGGTTACCGCAATTAAATTTCCACCATCAATGTGTGGAAATGTTTGTTTTCCCCACAGCCTTGCCAATGCAACATGTGATAGAGTTTTATCTTAGCCAGTTTGATAGATGAAAAATAGAGCGGCCAGGGCTGTTGCGTGGCAGTGGAGTGTGTGCTTAGCATCCACAAGGCCCTGGGTTCAATCCTTAGCATTAAAAAAAAAAAAAAGCAAGATCCCAAGTTTGATCCCCAGTACCAAAAAAAGTATCTCGGTGTGCTTTTAATCTGCATTTTTCTACTATGAGCAAAGTTAACATTTACATACTCTTCTGTAAATTATGTACTTCACAGTCTGCCCACTTTCCATTGTGTTTGTGATCTATTACTAATGGATTTGTAAGAGCTCTTTATGTATCAAGAAAGTGAATCCTTTTCAAATATGAGTTGCAAATATATATCTTCCTAAACAGAATGTTTTGGTGGCAAAGTGGTTCTTTGCTAAAATGACTTTTTTGCTAATTAACCTGTCATCAAAGGTGATATTGAGGGTGAAATTCCATAGTCCTGCCTGTGGGATTTGAAAGGCTTTACTATAATTTCCTGGGGCTCCTGTAATCCTAGCATTCAGGAGGCTGAGGCACGAGGACTGCTGCAAGTTCAAGGCCTGCCTGAAGCATATAATGAGAAAATAGAATTAGCAGTCATGTTGTCAATGTTACCGGTCTCCTAGGTATGCTGTGAGCGTCACGTGGGAACTGGATAAAGCCTCTTACGAAATTAAGAAGGTGTGGTACGGCAGAACCATTATTCGCTCAGCTTACAAACTGTTCTACGAAGCGGCCCAGGAGCTCCTGCACGGAAACTTTGGCATCGCTGATGAGATCCCAGAATTCAAAAACTCGGATGAGAAGGGCAGACAAGCCAGGCTGGAGGAGTTGGCGTGGGCTATCGGGAAGCTGACAGACATCGCTCGCCATGTCCGGGCAAGGCGCAACCGCTGCGGGGCCCTGGAGCTGGAAGGCGTGGAGATTCGAGTCCAGCTTGATGATAAAAAGAACATCCACGACCTCATCCCCAAGCAGCCCCTGGAGGTGCACGAGACGGTGGCCGAGTGCATGATCCTGGCCAACCACTGGGTGGCTCGGAAGATCTGGGAGAGCTTCCCCCACCAGGCACTGCTGCGCCAGCACCCGCCGCCCCACCAGGAGTTCTTCGCGGAACTCCGGGAGTGCGCCAGGGCCAAGGGCTTCTGCATCGACACCCGGTACCGCTCCGCTCAGCCGGGTGGGGGCGCTGTGCGCGCGTGCAGTGGATGGGCGTTTTCAAAGGTGACGGGAAGATGTTTGGGCAAGAGTAGAAAACTTGGCTATCTTCATTTACCTTAATGCTAGGTACAGAGTTGTTGTTTGGGGGACAGGGTCTTGCCGTGCTGCCCGGGCTTGCCTTGAGCTTCCGATGATCTTCCTGCTGCAGCCTCGCCAGTGCTGAGATCACGAGTTGCTGCCATGCTGCGCTCATTTTAACACGTTCAAAATGCAGCCTAACCTATGCTTTTTGTTTTGTTCTGTTTTGTTTTTGAGACAGGGTCTCATTATACGTCCCTATGGCCCAGGTTGGGCTCAAACTTGCGATCCTCCTGCCTCGGCCTCCCAGAGTGCTGCAATTACAGGCATGCGCCCCCACACCCAGCTATATGCATATAATTTAGGTCAGGACTGAGTCATGATTTTAACGCAAGTCCATCAAATTTGAAAGCTCACAGTAGTGACCTCCTGATCATGTTGCCTCTATATTCGTTATCATTGTCTTTCTTCCTTTTCCTCTCAGCTAGCCATAATATAGAACTGAATTATATGTTGTATTATTAGTTTTATTTCTAATATATTTCTGTATTTCCTGAGGTTTAAGAAAATTATTTTGGCCAATAAAAATTAATTAGAAAATTATTTTGAGAATAGACTACTTCCTATGTAGCTCTCTCTCTGAAAAAAAAAAAAAAAAAAAAAAAAGCCAGTGGTGTAAGCATATAATCCCAGCTACTCAGGAGGCTGAAACAGGAAGATCACAAATTAAAGTCCAGCCTGGGCAACTTAGCTAGACCCTGATTCAAAGAATAAAGAGGGCTGGGCATGTGGCTCAGCGGTAAAGTGGGGTTGGATCACCAGTACTGCAAAATGAATAAATAAAATAATAATAATTTTATTTTGCTTTAATTAGTTATTGATTGAGACAGGGTCTTGCTATGTTGCCCAGGATGGTCTTGAATTTTCTGGGCTCCAGTGATCTTCCTGGCTCAGCCTCTTGAATACTGGGACTATTTGACACACATCACTGTTCCAGCTGCTTTGTTTTCTTAAACTACCTATAGCTCAGATTCTTGATAGAAATAGAAGAAGAAAAAGGCCATTTGTTGGTCAGTAGAAGATATATAAGGTTAAAAGTGTTAAGAATTAACTTCAGGGCTGGGGATTTAGCTCAGTGGTTCCGCTGCCTGCCTTGCAAATGCAAGGTCCCGAGTTCAAGCTCCGGTACCAAAAAAGAATTCACTTCAACAGGAATTTGACTGTGTACTAAAGCCATGCATTACTCACCCCAGCATTAAATAGCACATTACTCTTTCCTACTTAAGAAACTTATTCAAGCCAAGTGTGGTGGCATACACCTGTAATCCCAGTACTCTGGAGGCTGAGGCAGGAGGATTGCCAAAGTTCGAGGTCAGCCTGTGCTACATAGTGAGACCATCTCAAAAAAAACAAACAAAATTTATAAAAAATTCTTGGGCTGGGGATTTAGTTCAGTGGCACTGTGCCTGCCTTGAAAGTGCAAGGACCCGAGTTCGATCCCCAGGACCAAAAAAAAAGAAAAAAAAAATTCTGACACTTTTTCTTTGTTCAAAAGCAAACTAGCTTTCTAGAGTTGCTTCTGAAATGTCTAAAATAAATTTCAGTGCTGGGAGATAGAGATATTTAGATCAATGAGCAGAGAGTTCCACATAAGAGCACTGACTTGCAGCTTACCTTCAACGGCTACATCTGGGTTTTTCTCTTCTTTGTCAGCTCCAATAAGACCCTGGCTGATTCTCTGGATAAGGCAGAGGATCCCAGCGACCCCATTGTGAACCAGCTGCTGCGCTCCATGGCTACCCAGGCCATGTCCAACGCGCTCTATTTCTCTACTGGGTCCTGCACAGAGAAAGAGTTCCATCATTACGGTAAATCAGAACATTCCCCACGTGTAGCCGTAACCCTAAACAAGCTGTTTAAAATATATATACATATATTTTTTATTTTGACACTGTGTTTTCTTTTTGAAGGTCTTGCGTTAGATAAATACACCCACTTTACTTCTCCAATAAGAAGATACTCGGATATTGTAGTACACCGACTGTTAATGGCAGCCATTTCAAAAGATAAGAAAATGGAAATTAAAGAAAATTTATTAAGCAACAAAGATCTTGAGGAATTGTGTAGACATATCAACAACAGAAACCGAGTAAGAAGGGGTTTAAAAATTCTCTTACCCACCAGCCATGGTGGTTGCATGCCTGTGATTCCAGCACTCTGGAGGCTGAGGCAGGAGGATTGTCATTGAGTTCAAGGCCAGCCTGGGCTACATAGTGAGTTCAAAGCCAGTTTAAACTACATGGTGAGACCCTCAAAACAATTTTCTTTTCTTACCCTAGATGTCTTGCTAGTAAGTTTTATTGCATAGTAGAGTGAAGTACCATGTATTTTAGCAAATTAAATTCTACAATTCTATTTTTTGTTTTGTTTTGTTAAGACAGGGTCTCACTATATAGCCCAGGATGGCCTTGGACTCACACCATTCCTCCTCCCTCAACTTCCCATGTGCTAGGATCACAGGCATGCCAGTTCCAGGATTATTCTAACCAGTGCTGTCACTGCAATAACTTATGTGGATTTAGGGATTTTGTTTACATTTTGGAAATGAGGTCTCACTCTGTTGCCCCAGCTGGCCTCAAATTTAAAGGGTCCTAATAATCAGCCTCAGTTCAAAGTAGCTGAGACTTTCAGCATGCCTGGCTTGGATTTGGAAGATGTGGCAGTGGATTATTTTTTTTCTAAAAGGTAGATATGTAAATGCTCAAACACATGAAAATATGAAGAGAGAGGCAGGCATGGTGGCGCACGCCTGTAATCCCAGCATTTGGGAGGCTGAGGCCGGAGAATCGTCACAAGTTCTAGGCCTGTTTGAGCTACATATTGAGTTTAAGACCAGGGCAGGAGATTTAGCTCAGTGGTGCTGAGCCTGCCTTGCAAGCACAAGGTCCTCAGTTCAATCCCCAGTACCGTAAAAAATACACAGACTCGGAGTTTAAGACCACCTTGAAGTACACAGTGAGACCCTGTGGAAAAATAAAAAAGGATATGAAACGAGAAAGCTCATCTATCATACCACTCATTACTAACAATTCTAGACAGTCTTACATTTTCATTTATAGAAATAATACTCTATATGGAATCGTTCACTTAACACACTTGTTGAGAACAGCATGTCAATGACTACAATAACATCGTTATTTTATAAGCTGCTTTGTATTCTACTGTATGTCACTAGCAGCTACAAGATTGCACAGCATAGAACTGGACCATTGGGTAATATGGGAAACTAAAAGCCACCTGTTTAATGCAGTTTTCTATAGTCAGTGTTCTAGTTCTGTTGTACAGTACTGTAGGACTAGCCATGTTGGTATTTAAATTAATTAGAACTAGAAATTCAGTTCCTCAGTTTTTGTTTTTGTTTTGTTTTTTTGGTACCAGGAATTGAACTCGGGTCCTTGCGCCTGCACAGCAGGCGGCGAAATCATTGAGCTAAATCCCTGGCCCATCAATTTTGTTTTGTTTTTTAAGAGGCTCTCACTATATAGTTCAGACTGGCCTTGAATTTCCTGGGATCCTCCTGCCTCAGCCTCCTGAACGCTGCAATTATAGGCCTGGTTGAATCTAACTTTTTTTTGTTTTTTGAATCTAACTTTTTAAAGACCCTGTGGGGATGTGAATTTGTCTCTTCTGGGAATGTCAGGGCATTTGTGATCCTTTGGGCTCTGCTTCTTACAGGCAGCACAGCATTCTCAGAAGCAGTCTACTGAGCTCTTCCAGTGCATGTACTTTAAAGACAAAGACCCTGACACCGAGGAGCGCTGCATATCTGATGGAGTTATTTACTCAATTAGGACAAATGGTGTGCTTGTTTTTATACCAAGGTATGTTACATCTAAGGCAGTAGTTACTACAAAGTCAGAGTTAAACCAGAACTGTAGACCACAAGCAGTACATTAGGTGTGAATTTTTCTTTTCTTCTTTTTTTCTGGTACAGGGGATCGAACTCAGGACCTTGCACTTGCAAGGCAGGCACAGCGCCACTGACCTAAATCCTCAGCCCCAGATGTGAATTTATTAAGGTACACATTGCCAGGCCTGGTGGTGCACACCTATAATCCCAGCACTTGGGAGGCTGAGGCATGAGGATCACCATGAGTTTAAAGACAGCCTAAACTACATAGTGAGATCCTGTCTCAAAAACATAATTAAAAATATTTCTTTAGGGCTGGGGATGTAGGTCAGTGCCAGAACACCTGCCTGACATCCAGTGTCCTTGGTTCAATTATTAGCACCACCAAATTTTTTAAGCTATTATATTTTATATTATATATTTTTATTTTTTCTATTATATTTTTATAAGCTATTTTATATATATATATATATATTTATTTATTTATTTATTTTATTTTTTTGGTACCAGGGATCAAAGTCAGGTCCTCACACTTGTGAGGCAGGTGGAAGAACCACTGAGCTAAATCCCTGGCCCAGCTATTAATTTTTTTGGTTTTTTGGTACCGGGGATCGGGATCAAACTCAGGACCTTGTGCTTACAGGACAGGCGCCAGAACTGCTGAACTAAATCTCTAGCCCTCAGCTATTATATTTTTAACTTAAGCTATTATTGTTGCACAGTATAATGTCAGTCCAGTATATAATTATGAAATGGAGACAACTGGAGTATATCTATGTCCATGCTAGGATCTTATCTAGAAAATATTTTGTGTTTGCATCTGTTATAGCAAAATAAGTATTTGGAGGTTAAGCAGAAGAGTGATTTGTTTTTCATCTAGATAAACACACAAGACCATGCACTAAGAATATGTTAACTCTGGATCTTTATTTTGACCATTCAGGTTTGGGATTAAAGGTGCTGCTTATCTAAAAAATAAAGATGGTTTAGTGATGTGCTGTGGCCCTGACAGCCGCTTGGAATGGAAACCAGGGTCCCTACAGCGATTTCAGGACAAAATCACCTCCACCACAACGGGAGGGGAGTCGCTCACACTCCACCTGTTCGACCATGTCACGGTGAGTCTGCATTTGTGGAAGCACTGCTTTCGGTGCGACAAGGAAAGGTACTTGGTGACTAGTCTCTCCTTTGTGACAGGTCAGGATATCCGTGCAGGCCTCACGCTGCCATGCAGACACAATCGGACTTGAGATCATCAGCAGCAAACCGTACAGGGTACAGAGCTCAGAGCTGTCCCACCTGAGCCCGCTCGTGCTGAAGAGTGAGTTGGTGAGGGACGTTACCAGGTGCGCGGAGGAGGCCCAGCTGGCCCAGGAAGGGCAGGTGGATGGCATCCGGGAGGAGTATCAAGAGTACCGCCAGACAAAGGGCCGGAGCCTGTACGTGCTTCTAGAGGAGATCAGGGACCTGGCACTCCTGGACGTCTCAGGGGACTATGGCATATGAAATCATCTTGCTTCATTAAAAGAGCTTTGTCATGGTATTTTACCATCTTTCCAAACTTCATGGCGAATCTCAGGTCACTTGGTGCTCTTAACTGATCAGGATCCAGTAGGTATTTCATGTGTACAGTATTCTCTCCTGGTTCGCCGACTGCTTTAAATACAGAACGAGGCCACTGTAGCTGCTGAAGTTTCAGCACTGAGAGGACAGGGAACAGTGCTCTGTAAGGTCACTTGCTGGCCTCTTTTTAATAAACCCACAATTTTTAGTTGTCTGGTCTGTTTTCTCAAAGTAAGTTGTATGGCTGGGGACGCAGCTCGGGCATAGCGCTTGCATGCGTGAGGCTCTGGGCTCAATCCCCTGCACTGCCAAAAGAAACATCCTACAGGGCTCAGTGGTTTCACCGCCTGCTGCACAAGCGCAAGGACCCGAGTTCAATCCCCGGTACAAAAAAAAAAAGAAAAAAGAAACATCCTACATTGGGCCATTTGGTTTCAAGGCCCCTCTGGATTCAGATGGTTTTTTAGTCACTTTGAATAAGACTCGGTCCTGTCCACCTACCCACTTTAAAACACCTATTTCCCACTGACACACACTTTCCCGGCTGTGCTGGCACCAGCTGGGGACAGGGCACAGAGCAGGAAGTGGGATGCACGGGAAGTCTTGTCTGCAACTCCCTCGCCCCCTCCCACTGTTGAGTGCCCCTCAGATGAGGTGACTGGCCTCCCCCTCCTGGTAGCTTGTCACTCTACAAGCAAACCAAGCACCAGAAAAAGAAATCTCCCAGGCCCTGATTGTGGACAGAGGCCTGAACAGAACCCCGAGATATTTGCAGCCCTACCCTCCTGCCTCAGCCTCCCGAGTGATGGGATCACAGGTATGCGCCCCCACACCCCTGCCTGGTGGCACCCCGAGACCAGGTTGTCTTCTAGCTGCTTCCTCCATGGCAACAATAAGCCCCAATGTTTTGGATGCACACACGCGCCTCCTGGCCCATCACTGGTGCAGCTCCCTGTGAGCCCGCATGTTCTCCTTGTGCTCCACTTTCTGGCTTTTCAACCAAGCTATCTGTCATTCTGTCCCTGCCCCAAGTCAGCTAGCTAGAAGGGCACACAATGGCTGCCATCCCAGCTCTGGACAGAAGCCACTCACTGTCGTGCTATTCTCCACCCGCTCTCCTAAGGGAGACACGAGGGCTTTGCTTTCTAACCCCCAGTCTCTCTCAAAAGGCGACCTTCCCAGTCCCTTCCACAGTAACCCAGCTCAGGCTTTCCCCGCCTCACCATGGGACAAGAACAAGTCTCTACCAACTTCCTGTCAACACCCTCCACCTGCTGACGCAGGGGCAGGGGGAACTGCACCCAGGCCCCTCAGCATCTGGCCTGACCCCTGCAGCCTCACAGTCACCACTCCAGAGCTGTTACCTAAATCCTTACTCATGTCCATCACTGTGCCCGCTCATCCGAAGACCTGGCATCTCCTCCCCAAAATGAAGACTCTTCCTGTGACTCCTGTGTCTCTTGGGACACTGCTGATTCTCCCAGCTGGTCAGTGGGGTCCCAGGGCAATGGCCAGGGCACCGCTCAACCCCTTGTGGATTACAGTGACTGCTTGAAACATACACAAAGTCAAATGCTTTAACAAAAGTGTAACTTACAGAAAGTGAAGAAAGACTTTCATAAAGCTCCTCCAGTTTTAAAAATCATCATTTTTACTTCTTTTTAAAAAGACATTAATGGTTGAAACATATTTATATCTTCAATATGACCCCATTGAGTCAGCACTGCCATTCAGTGCACAACAGCAGCAGCAGCTACTTATTAACTATTAATCATTTATGAGGTCACAGCTATATAAAAATAGTATTCAAGATAATAGGCTGAACTAAGTTAATAAAGGACAAACAAATAAATATCAGATTTTTAGCAGGATTTTGCATATATTTACTACCTAAGAATTTTCACATAAAATACAAATGGCAAATGTGCAGGATGTTGAATTAATCTGACATTTTCTTGGTGGAGGCCTTGCTAACCTCAGTAACTGTGCAGCATGGAGTTGTACATTTTACTGTTTCTTTTTGGTGTTCTGAGACAGGGTTTCGCCGTGGAGTTCAGGCTGGCCTCAAACTTGCACCAATCCTCCTGCCTCAGTCTCTCAAGTGCTGGGGTTGCAGATGTACACCACCACGCCCAGCTTGGGGTTGTACATTTTAAAAAGACTGGTCCAGTTGTGTTTGCTCTGATATCACTTCCTCTCCACTTAGAGCACTGGCAGGAGCATCACCGCATGGGGTGTGGACAATGTCTCTGTTCACTTCCTCCTGCTCCTCTCCAGAATGAACCTCTTCAACTGCCTGTGCGCCATGTGTGTCCACGGACATGTCTGCAAGAGAAAAGCTTGTGTTACTCAGTGCAAGCAAGTGATGCACTCTCAGCTCACAAGTACAAATCCCTTCAAAAGCATAGCTTATGAAAAAAAATTTTTTTAAAAGCTTAGCTTAGCAGAAATGAAATCCCTGATCATTCAGTTAATGTTAATCAGGGTGGGGATTTAGATCAGTGGTGCTGCCACCTGCCTTACAAGCACAAGGTCCTGAGTTCGATCTCCCCTACCAAACAAAAAAGTTAATGTTAATCATGATGTCTCAATTCTAAATAAACCCAGTTTTGTATATCCCTGAACAAAGTCCAGTCAAGATACAAAGGGTCCCCAGGCATACACACCTGTAGTCCCCGCTACTTGAGGCAAAAGGACCGAAAATTCAAGGCCAGCCTGGCAATTAAGTGAGACCCTGTTTCAAAAAGGGGGCTTAAGGGCTGGGGATTTAGCTCAGTGGTTTCAACACGTGCTACGCAAATGCAAGGACCCGAGTTCAATTCCTGGTACCAAAAAAAAAAAGCGGGGGGGAGCCTTGGGCCTGGGATTTAGCTCAATGGTTCTGCCACCTGCCTTGAAAGCGAAAGGCTCTGAGTTTGATCTCCGGCACAAAAAAGAGCCAGGCATGGTGGCACATGCCTGTAATCCCAGCACTCTGGGAGGCTAAAGCAGGAGGATTACCAGGAGTTCGAGGCCAGGCTGGGCTACAAAGCCAGCCGGAACAACATAGAGACACCTTGTCTCAAAAAACCAAAAACAGGGCCGGAGATGTAGCTCAGCGGCACAGTGCCTGCCTGGCAAGCATGAGGTCCTGAGTTCTATCCCCAGGACCAAAAAAAACCTCCCAAAAAACAACAAAGGGCTGCATACAGCTCCCTTCAAAGACTCTGTGCTAAATTCCCAGTACCAAACCAAACCAGATATTTGTGTAAATTTTAAGTTGTACAGAAAAATGAAAGGTGAGCTTTAAATACCTCTTGCCAGGTGTTCTTTGAGATTGATGACAAGCCCCTGCTGTCAAAATGTATCTTTAGGGCCGGGGATTTAGCTCAGTGGTTTTGCCTCCTGCTGAGCAAGAGGCAAGGACCTGAGTTCGATCCCCAGTACCAAAAAAAAAAAAAAACCAAACAAAATATATCTCTCCATGTAATTTTTCTCGTGATACTAATAAAATATCCATTCATAAAGATAAAAATTAAATTCATGTTAACTGAAAAAATACAACAGAGTCACAATATTCATCTGAGAATTCTGTGCTTGTGGATGAATCATTTTACAACATAGTTTTTACCTACTCTTTTCTACTACTTTACTCTTTTCCTCTTTTTCTTTCTTTTGTTTTTGTGAGATAGGCTCTCCCTATATATCTCAGGCTGGCCTTGAACTCACTAGGCACCTGAGCTGGCCTCAAACTCACACAGATCCTTCTTTCTGCCTCGGCCCCCTGAGTGCTGGGATCCCAGGTGTGCACCACCACACCCAGCTACTTTCCAATTTCAAAAGGAAAAATGATTGGAAATTGAGACTATAATCCTGCCTACTTCACTCAAAGCTTGCAATTCTTTTTAAATACTGTTTTAACAAACTATCTGGTTTCTAAATCTTCAGTGTTTTAAAAACAGCAAATTTTGGATGGGAGGTAAAGCTCACTGGTACAACCATATGTATTAGCAGACACAAAGCCCTGGGTTCAATACCCAGCACCAAAAAAATTAAATAAATAAAACCAGCAAATTTTAAGATAGTCCTAAAAGTTGGAAGGGGACAGTACAGATAAGCAAAGCAACAGACACCAAGAGTGTAGCTTACAGAAAGTGACACAGCACAATAAAAAGCATTTAAATTACAGTGGATGGGGCCAGGGATTTAGCTCAGTGGTTTCGTCGCCTGCTGCGCAAGCGCAAGGACCCGAGTTCGATCCCCGATACCAAAAAAAGAAAAAAGAAAAAAAAAAAAAATTACAGTGGATGGCTCTAAAATCAAGGATACAGATCTTTATTATCAAAGTAGTCGGGCCCGAGGATTTAGCTCAGTGGTGCTGCCACCTGCCTTGCAAGCACAAGGTTCAAAGTTTGATCCCCAATACCAAAAACAAAAAATTATCAAAGTAGTATAATAATAAAGTATTATGATCCTCAAAACTATGTGGGACATGCTCTAAGGAGCCAGGAAAGAATATAGTTTTGAAGGACTTAGAATCTTCCTAAGAGGTTCTCAGCTATTCAGAAAACAATCTCAGACTCCTATATTCTTTGAACTCCAAACAGATCACATACACTCTCAAGTATACACATAAACCTGACACACACTGATCTATTCCTAGTGGTATTTGAGTTTGGGGGATAGCAGAGAAGCTAATGTTTCTCACATGGTCTTGATATTAAGGGTAATGTGCAAGACCTAACATCCACTTTACCGTTTTCCGGGGCCTGACTGCTGCTCAGCAGCTTTGCCTGCCTTCTTCCCAGGGCCAGATGTTTGTTCCTCTCAATTCTCTGCTGCTGCTCCTCTGTGAGGGTGCTCCTTGGCTCAGGATCAAGTTTCTCACCCTCCGCTAAGTTTGTCAGGAAGGGGTCAAATTCAGTAGCTGTTACCTCAAGGCCATTATTTTCCCCTACATCATCTGTTGTAGAAAAAAAATGAGTACATCAGTAGTGTTAGATTACTGAGAGCATTTAATTGAAAAACACACTAGAGCTGGACATGTAGCTTGGTGCTAGAGAGTTTGCCCAGCATCTATAGCATGTACCGAGTGCAATCCCCAGTACCAGGAAAATACGAAAAAACCCAAACCATAATCTTACCCTACATTAAACCAACACATTTTAATAGCCTGACATAGTGTTTATGTGGTACACAGTAATAATTTTATACAGGCCATTATCTTTTACAGGGGAAAAGAGAAGAAAAGAATGTTCAGATCTGTGAACATATTTCCAAGTTAATTTTCTACTGAGTGCTAACTCTTGCTTCCCGCAACCAACATAACGAAGGTCTTTCACTTCCTTGGTTAGGTTATGGAGGAATGAGAATTATTAAAATGCTAATCACATACAAAGTAATCTACAGATTCAGCCTATTCAATCTGTATATTCAACTTGCCCCTATGAAACTTACAAGGGCATTTTCAGAAATAGAAAAAACAATCCTAAGATTCATGTACAATCACAAAAGACCCTGAAAAACCACAACAGAACTGATCAAGAACAGAAAGGAGGCACCACACTCTTCTTTCAAAACGTATTACAAAGCTACAGTAATCAAAGCACTATGCTACCAGCATGGAAACCAATGGAACACAAATACAGCCATGTATTTGTGGCCATCTGATTTTTGACAAAGGCAGCATGAACATACCCCAGAGAAAGGAAGCTCTTTTTTATTTATTTTTTTAATGTAAGTAAAATTTTATTATTTCCAGTTCCATCATACTATATGCTTGTTTTTTATTCTTTTATTGGTACATTTTAGGTATACAATGTTTATATTTACCACTGGGTGTACCTGTACACCTTTCATTCCCTCCACCCTTCCCTATTTACATAGATTTCGTTTCCATTGTTTTTCTTTTCTCATAATTTTTCCTTTCCCTTTCCCCTCCCCCTCCCACCATCCCTGCACCTTTGAACCTTTTGATATTTCAAATTATCAATTATTTGTCTTTTTTTTTTTTGGTACTGGGGATTGAACTCAGGACCTTGCACTTTCAAGGCAGGCACTGGAACCAGAGCCAAATCCCTGGCTCATCATTTGTTTTAATCACTTTAATCCTTATTTACACTTTCAGTTTCCCACACTAGAGAAAATATTCAGTATTTACACGTGTGTTCTATTTATTTCACTTAAGAGGAGGGCCTCAATATGCATCCATTTAGCTATAAATTTCCAGTTTTTGGGGGGGTACCGGGGATTGAACTCTGGTCCTTGCGCTTGCGAGGCAGGTGAGAGAACCACTGAGCTAAATCCCCGGTCCTCAGTTTCTTGTTCTTTATGGCTGAGTAATGCTCCATTTTATTTAAAAAACACATCTTTATCCAGTTTCCAGTTGATGGGCACTTGGGCTGTTTCCAAGCTTTAACTATTACAAACTGTGCCTCTATAAACATGGGTGCACATATATCGCTGTTGTACGATTCTTTTAATTCTTTTGGGAAGATAACCAGCAGGGGAATAGCTGGGTCAAATGAGACCTTTAGCCCTAGTTCTTTGAGGTATCTCCATACCGATTTCCACAGTGGTTGCACCAGTCTGCACTCCCACCAACAATGGAGGGTTCCTTTCTCCCCACACCGCCGCCAGCATTTGTTATGGTTGACTGGTTCGTTCTTTCTGGGGTGAGGTGGAAACTCAGTGTTGTTTTCATCTGCATTTCTCGAATGACCAGTGATGTTGAACATTTTTTCATATATTTGCTGCTTTTACTTCTTTGTCTGAGAAATGCCTGTTCATTTCAGATGCCCATTTTTGAATTGGGTCTTTGAATTTGGGGGGCCTGATATTTTTTCAGTTCTTTATATGTTCTAGATAGTAGTCCTTTGTCTGAGGTACAGCTGCTAAAATTTTTTTCCCACATTGTAGGTTGTTAGCTCTGTTGGTGGCTTCTCTTGCAGTGCAGAAGCTTTTTAATTAGATGAGATCCCAGTTGTTGACTCTTTGTGCGAGTTCCTGTGCTACTGACATTTTGTTCATAGTCTTTTTTCTCTGCCAATGTCCTCAAGAGTTCTACCTAACTTATCGTCCAGCAAGTTTAGTGTTTCTGTCTGAATATTTAGATCTTTAATCCACTTTGATCTTAGTTTAGTGCTTGGTGATAGTTACGGGTCTAGTTTTAATCTTTGGCAGGTTGAAATCCAGTTTTTCCAGCACCATTTATTTAAATAGGCTATCTTTCCTCCAATGAGGGTGGTTGGCTCCTTCGTGAAAGATGAGATGGCTGAGTATGTCTGTATTTGTTTCTGCATCTTCTAATCTATTCTAGTGATCCTTGGGTCTGTTCCTTTGCCAGTACCATGCTGTTTTTATCACAGTAGCTTTGTAGTATAGTTTCAAGGTGGGGATTGTGATACCCCCAAGCCATGTCTCTGTTGCCTAGAATTGCTTTTGCTATTCTAGGTCTCTTCTGGCTCCAAATGAATTTTTGGATTGTTTTCTCTAGTTCTGTGAAGTATATT